AACCCCAGCACATTGGGAGGCTGAGGCGGGCAGATTCCCTGAGGTCAGGAGCTTGACAGCAGCCTGGCTAATGGGGTGAAACTCCATCTCTACTAAGAGAACAGAAATTAGCCAGGCCTGGTGGCACACACCTGGAGTCCCAGCTACTTAGGAGGCTGAGGCAGGAGAATCGCTTGAACCCGGGAGGCGGAGGCTGCAGTGAGTGGAGATCGGGCCGCTGCACTCCAGCCTGGGCGAGAGATAGACTCCCTCTCAAAAAAAATTTTAATTAAATAGATAACTATGTAAATAAGGTATTCCCTTATTTTGAAAAAAGATCTCTGCCAATATGATCAAGTGAGAGACCCTGAGATGGGAAGACTGTCCCAAATTGTCTGGATGTCCCCAGGTGCTGTCACATGCTTCTTGAGGCAGAGGAAGGATTGACACATGGAAAAACACCACGTGGGGATGGAGACAGAGACTGCAGTGCCGTGGCCGCAAGCCAAGGGATGCCTGGAGCCCCCAGAAGCCAGAAGAGGCTGGAAGGGCCCTCCCGGAGCCTGCAGAGGAGGAGCACCTTGCTCTCTGCCCAGCAATGCTGACTTTGGACGTGGGGTCCGATGGTGACGGAACACACGTCTGTGCTTTCAGGCCCCCGGGCTGCGGCAGTTTGTTACAGCAACAGCAGCAGACCTTAAAACCCGCGCCGGGGGCTTGGCAGGCACGGCTCCGAGTCTCCGTCCACTTCAACTGCTGCGTGTCGGGTACACAGGCGTTTACATTCATAACAGCGCTGTTGATCGTTAAAATCGGCATACATGAGCTCTGTTGTGTGTAGGATCCAGCTCACAATAAAACCGTTGGAGAACCTTTGAAGAAAGCCATCACCTCACCTCCGTTTCCACAGTGGAACGTGGAGCAATGGCAAGATTTCAGCCTGGGCACTGCGGCTCACGCCTGCCATCCCAGCACTTTGGGAGGCTGAGGTGGGAGGATCACTTGAGCCTGGGAGTTCGAGAGCAGCCTGGGCACCTTATCAAGACCCGGTGTTGTGTGGTGCACACCTGCAGGCAGCTCCTCCAGAGGGTGAGGTGGAAGGACCTCTGAGCCCAGGAGTTCAAGGCTGCAGTGAACCGTGACTGCCCGCTGCACTCCAGCCTGGGCAGCAGAGTGAGACCATCTCTAAAAGAAAACAAGAAGATTCAAGGCAAGGAGTCAAGAAGCCAGCAGATGTCGGCGACTGGCTTGAGCAACACAGGAGCCTTCCTCCAGCAGAACTGGAAGGTCAGCATCTGCCTGGTCAAAGGCATCGAGGCTGTGTGCCTGCCTCTCCCCTGGCAACACGGCTTCCTGTCTCCTCAAAGGGCACCGAGAAAGAGCAGGGCAGCCCCTGAGCATGACGGCGGGGCTCTGACCGGCTCCTCTGGACTTGACGGCCCCACGGACAAGGCCACCCTGTGGCTGAGGACCAGGACAAGAGCAGGGCCCCCTCTGCACACAGGTGGGAGCAGCGCCCACGACCCCCAGGTGACCGGCGCCCCCCTCCTGCTGGATGTGACTGTCACTTTTTACCAATGACACCTTGCACCTTGCTCTGTTTTCTTACCTTCTAGATAAGAAATATTGAGACAGTAGGCCTCAGAGTCACCCCCAGTTCCTGACAGCATCGAGCAGAGTGAAGCACAGGTGCCTTGGACACTCCCCCAAAGCCTCCATGGAGTTGCCCCCCCCAACACATCCTCCCCGACACCCTCTGCATGGTGTGGGGCCTCCGTGCCGCAGCAAGTCGGGGTGTTCGCGGTGGCTTGGACCACCAACGGGTGTTGGCTAACAGCTGGGACGGCACCTCTGGGCTCCTGGAAGCAGCCGGTCACCTCACCTAGAAGAGGGTGACGGCTGGAGCAACAGCAACTGCTTTGAGACCAGGTGGAGTTTGGACTCTTTCTGCATCCGTCTCCCTCTCCACAGTGGCTCAGGGCCTCTGTGCCCAGGCAGCGTTTGATCGTTGTCATGGGAACGTAGAGGAAAAGAAACTGCACCGGCTTGAGATCCACACTGCGGCAGGGTAGGGACAGCGGTCTTGTTTTTAGTTAATTAATCAATTATTTATTTTGAAACAGAGTCTCACTCTGCCACCCAAGCTGGAGCGCAGTGGTGTGATCACAGCTCACTGTGGCCTCCACTTCCAGATCTGAGCCATTCTCGTGCTTCAGCCTCCTGAGTAGCTGGGACTACAGGCACGCATCGCTGTGCTCGGCTGATTTTTTCTATTCTTAGTAACGGGGTTTCACCATATTGCCCAAGCTGGTCTTGAACTCCTAAATTCAGACAGTCCGCCCGCCTCGGCGTCCCGAAGTGTTGGGATTACTGGCCTGAGCCACTGAACCTGGCCGGGACAGTGGGTTTGAAAGACAGGCACAGTCGGGCGTGGTGGCTCACGCCTGTAATTCCAGCACTTCGGGAGGCTGAGGCGGGGGGATCATGAGGTCAGGAGTTCAAGACCAGCCTGGCCAAGATGGTGAAACCCTGTCTCTAGTAAAAGTAAATAAAAGGCACCAGCCTTTCTTGATAAAGAAAAGTGTGTAAGAATCCATAGATCTAAAGCAACAGGCCGTACCTCTGAAGATTCCATGCAGGAGCCAGAGTCCCACTCCCGAGCTGAGATCGGTGGGGGCGGAGGGCAGGGTTTGCCCAGGAGACGGCTCAGCCTCTGCCCCTGGAGTGCCTGACCTTCACCAGGGCAGGGAGGAGCATACGGCGCCCAGTGGTTGGTGCCTCCCTGCCTTTGTGCAGCTGCCAAGGCCTCCCTGCCACCAGCCCTCACTGCTGTCCACCCCCTGCCCACAGGCCCGTAGCTGCCACAGTCCTCTGCAGAGACGGCTCAGTTTCATGCAATGCCCTTCAACAGCTGAGGAGATAGGAAGGGCTCCCCTAGCAGAGGTGGGGGCCCTGTGGGGCCGGGGAGAAGGTCCCCAAGGCACACATGGGAGGGCGTGGACGGAAGAGCACAAGACTGCTGCAGTCTGAACGGTGCCTCCGTAACTCACGTGTTGGAACTTGATCACCAAGGAGACAGCATTACGAGGCCGGGCTTTGGGCGGTGGCAGAGCCTCAAGAATGGGCTTCATGACCTCACAAGAGGTGTGAGGGAGCCGCCTCCCTTCCCTTGGTCCTTCCGCCACCCCTCCAGCCACGTGAGGACGCAGCAGCGGGTGCCATCTTGGGAGCAGAGGCTGGGCCTCCCCAGACACAAACCTGCTGGTGCCTTTATCCTGGACTTCAGCCCGCACACCTGTGCGAAATCAGCGTCTGCTGTCTGTACGGAACCCCGTCTCAGATGCTTTGCCATGGCAGCACGCACGGACTCGGAATCTCCTGCTCCCTCCACACCCACGTCCACTCACCGCCCCACCCTCCGGCGTCAGCTGTGGTGTCTCACCCGTCCTCCACCATCCCCGGGTAAAAAAACACCGGGTTCATTTCCTCTAAGACAAGCAGCTTCCATTTTGCTTCTAAAATCCACATCTGACGAAGCTGTTCTCCAGCAAAGGGCAGACCCAGCATTTCTGTCTCTGTCAACACAAATGTTATCAAGCCTATAATTGACATTTTTTTCTAGCTTCAATATTTTGCCTAAATAATTCCTCATCAAAATTGCAAGCTCTCTAAGAAATTATACTTTACTGTAGTAATTTTCACAGGGCAACTGAAGACATAATTGTGCAGAACACATTTTGAGTCTGGATGTTTGGAAGGAGGATGGCAGACATCTGGGACACAGCGCGGTGCCCGTGTTTATATGTGACGGAAGAAAATGACAGTTTCTCTAAGGCTTCATTTACATTTATGTTTTCTGTGTATTCACCACCCAGTCTCCCATGTCACACGGTCTGTACTAGGCTTTGTGTGTTTTTGTTCCTCCTTGGTTTGCTGTAGCACTTTCTGCTGTGAGCGTAACTCACTTCCTTGTTGCAGGAGTTTCCTGAGCCCACCATAACAAATTGCCACAATCTTGGTGGCTTAAAATAACACAGATTTATTTTCTCTTATTCGGGAAGCCGGAAGTCCAGAACCGATACACCAGCAGGGCCGTGTCCCTCGGGCCTCTCAGGAGGCTTCTTCCTGCTGCCCCGCCTCTGTGGACTTCTGGTGCCGTTTCCCTGGAGGGCCAGGGGATCCGGGCGGCCTGTGTATTCCGTGAACACCTCCACAGGGCTCTGGGTCACAAGCCTTGGGAAACTTTATTATTTTTATTTTTTTGAGACAGAATTTTGCTCTTGTTGTCCAGGCTGGAGTGCACTGATTCGATCTCTGCTCACTGCAGCCTCTGCCTTCCGGTTCAAGCGATTCTCCTGCCTCAGCCTCCTGAGTAGCTGGGACCACAGGTGCCCACACCACGCCCGGCTAATTTTTGTATTTTTAGTAGGGACGGGGTTTCACCATGTTGACCAGGATGGTCTCGAACTCCTGACCTCGTGATCCGCCCACCCCGGCCTCCCAGAGTGCTGCGATTGCAGGCGTGAGCCACCGCGCCCGGCCCGGAATCCTTTCTCAACAGGCGACACAGTTGGAGGATTCAGCCTTGTTGCCAAAGTCACTTGTTACTGGCTCCAACATGTGATGTCTACACCAGGCAGTGGTGCCGTGAAGTAAGGCCTATCTATAATAAACACACAAAACTCGGCAGGGCGCAGTGGCTCACGCCTGTAATCTGAGCACTTTGGGAGGCCGAGGTGGGTGGATCACGAGGCCAGGAGGTCAAGACCAGCCTGGCCAACATGGTGAAACCCCATTTGTACTAAAAATACAAAAATTAGCTGGGCATGGTAGCAGGCACTTGTAGGCCCAGCTACTGGGAGGCTGAGGCAGGAGAATCCCTTGAACCGGGGAGGCGGAGGTTGCGGTGAGCCGAGATCGCTCCATCGCGCTCCAGCCCGGGTGACAAGAGTGAAACTCCGTCTCAAAAATAAGTAAGTAAACAAACACACAAAATTCAAAAGAACCGGCCACCAACTCTACAAGACAGAAACAACTATACATTTTATTGTGGAGAAACATTGTCTTAAATAATGTTTTCACTTCGTTCCTTACTGAAGCAGCTTGTCCTTGGCCTGCTGAAACGCTGTTGGCTAAAATGTTCAACGTGACTAGAGGTATCTTCGGCATTTTCTTCCCTTAGCTTCATAACTTGTAGAACATCTCGTACAAAAAAAGGTAGATTCACAGAAAAATATGCATATAAATCACTTATTAATCCCAAAATGTAGTAAATAACTAGCAAAAACGTTATCAAATCCGGATACACAGGCCGGACAGTTCGCTGGCACGTGACCCCCACATCTGCAGCGTTTTATAAATTGGTGCTTTGACGTTAAAAAGGAGTTTTACAAAAAGACCCCCTTGTAATATCGATGGCTCTCAATTCTCACCACCACTGCCTCTCAAATTCGAACCACTCGGATATTACGCTCGTACAAAAGCAGTTATTTTAAGGAAAAAGTTGCAGCACAATCGTGTAAGTAACATTCGACATTTCATGTTACCGAGAGTTGAGCAGAGTACTAATTTTCCCTTTATACACACACATCTAAAACAAGCTTCATGCACACCCACGTGGAAATCCCAAGTCCGATAGTGCAGTGTGTCTCCACCGCCCAGGGGGCGCCGCACACGCTGCCAAGCGGCGACATTCACAGAAACCACCGGAATCCAAGATGCACCCGCCAGCTGCCTGGGTGGCACCGAGTTTCTCCTGGAGAGACTGCGCCGTGCCCAGTGCAGAGCCTTCCTTACGAAATTTTGCAGCTGTTTCTCGTGCAGTGTTTGGGTGGGCTCTGGGGCGGGCGGAGGAGCTTCACCTTGTGGAGGCCGCTCCTTTTGTGGGTGGAGCTGGTGGTGAGGGAGTAAGACCGTCCATGCATCATCCTGGCGTTCAGGCCGTTGGCCATGGAGAAGGACTTGAGGTGGCTTCGTAAGGCGATGGGCAGCGGCAGCTTGTCCACCAGGTGCACCGGCGTGCAGGACACGACAGCCCGGCAGCAGAGGTCTTGCAAGCTCAGCACTTGGGAGAGAAAAGAAAACCACACCTAGCGCACGTGCAGGCTGGGGCCGGAACGAGGGCGGTTCCCACACCTGTCCTCCCGCCTTCCAGAGACACGGACACCCACGGCCCTGGCTTGTACACGCAGCAAACCCTGCCTCGATGTCACCGCTGCCCACACACAGATTCCAGCAGTTCCTGCATAAGCTTTCTGACAGAGCTGCAGTAATGACTTCTCTCAAATGCCTGGCTCTGAGAAAGGACGCAGTGGCCACCCTGAGACGGGTCCCAGGAGGCAGATATTTGCCCAGGGGGCCGCAGAACCACCCCGGCATCTGGAGGGCAGGCATACCCGGAATCACCCTGGGCCTACCCTTGCTCGGCCGCCAGAGCCGGTCCATCCCATGCCGCAGCAGCACGATCCTGGCCAGCTCCGTGAACGACTCCGTGATGTTGAAATTGCACAGAGGGCTGACCTCAAAGAAGGTCACGCCCAGGCGCTCGGCGTAGGCCTGGGCCTGCTCCGTGGGCACCTGCCGCTTAAATGCCAGGTGCAGGCGGTTCCCCACCAGGATCCTGGGGACTCCGGGAGCGTGCTAGCAGGCAGGAGAAAGGCAAGGGTTACCCGAGTGAGACTTTGCTGTCACTGAAACGTGGGTGCCCTGGGTGGAGGAACCCCCACAAGTTCACTTCCACCCAGAACCTCAGCATGGGACCCTGTGTGGAAAGACAGTCTGGGCAGATGTGAATAGTTAAGGTGCAGCCACGCTGAATTAGGGCAGACCTTCATCTAACGACTGGCACACAGACACACACGCACACAGACGCACACACATCCACGCACACACACGCAAACATGCACACAGGCACGCACATGCACGCACACATGCACACACAGGTGCACACACGCAGGCACACATGCACACACGCACGCGCGCACACATGCACGCACACACACGCGCACACGCAAACACGCACACACTCGCATACGTGCACACACACACATGCGTACACACACGCAGACGAAGACGCACACACGCATGCGGGCATGCACACACGCAGATGCACACGCATGCGCATGCACGCACACGTGCACACACGCGCATAGACACACGCACGCATGAGTGCACACGTGCACACATGCACATGCACACAGGCACACACATGCACACACACACGCACAGGTGCGCACGCACACACGCACGCAGGTGCACACGCACACACACACATGCACGCATGCACAGGCACTGGCAGATGCATGCGCACGTGCACACATGTGCGTGCACGTGCACACATGTGCGCGCACGCAGACACGCACGCATGAGTGCACACGTGCACACACACGCACATGCACACACGCACGCGCACACACATGCATGCACACACATGCAAACATGCACACAGGCACGCACACACAGGTGCACAAACGCACGCACACACATGCGCATGCACGCACGCACACGCACAGGCAGATGTGTGCGCACGTGCACACACGTGCACGCACACGCAGACACACGCACGCATGAGTGCACACATGCACGCACACATGCACGCACACGCACAAACACGCACGCACACCCACATGCACACATGGAGGAGGCCATGTGACACAAAGGCAGAGACTGGAGCGGGGCGGCACAGACCGGGGGGCCCAGGGTTGCTGGCACCGCCGAGGGCCGGGCGAGGCCGCTGGGGGAATCGGTCCTGCCGACACCTTGGTTTCGGGCTCTGGCCTCCAGAACGGCGGGAGAACGCGTTTCTGTTTAGGACCCCGGCCTGCGGTCGCTGGTTACAGCAGCGCCGAGACACTCACCGTGGGCTCGTGCGGACCGCGCCACATCGCCATTGCCGGGTGGGCTGGTCCGCGTGCCCCCAGGCACAGGCCCCGTCACTGCTGGTCAGCCCAGCCCGGCCACAGCAGGGAGGGGAGCAGGCCGCCCGTGGGTCCCGACCCCACGCACAGCGGAGCCAGTCACCGCGGGTCCCGAC